CTGTTGCCTGTGCTTCAGGTGGGCAGCTGTGTCCACCCGTAGGCATGGGCACTTGCTCCAGCCCTGCAGCCCCGTATCGCCCGGGCACCAGGCAGCCTGCGCCGAAACGTGCCCCCGCGTGCGTGGGTGTGCAAAACGGGGGCGAGGGAGAAAGGACAGGACAAAGATGGAGAAATCAAGAGGCTGAAATAGGGGAGGACTTTGTGCCAGGCTGAACGCCGCTAATATTCGCCATCCTAATGGGGGGGCCAGGTTGCTGCTACAAACAAAGTGCAGCTCCTTGGAGGCGAGCAGACTCTCGGTCCCAGGACGTGCACGTCCATCCCCTCGGCGTTGGGGTGGCTGCAAGGGTCTGGTGGGGAGCAGCAGGTTGGGGAGCAGGTCCCTGCAGCGGGGACAGTCCCAGCCGGTGCTGCAGGCAGGGGGGACAGGCACCCGCCGGGGTGCTGGTGGCAAGTTGGGGTTTGGGACCTGCTTTTTCCAGAGGTTTCTCGGGTTTTCTGGGCTCTGAGGCTCTGCGGTGGTGGCAGGGGGTGGGCAGGGAGTGGGCAGGAGAGGCATGTGGACGGGAGCTTGGAGGTCAGGCGCGATGGGGGAGGACCAGGAGGGCTCCTGGAGGCATTTGGGGTGCGATGCTTTGCTGGGTGGGCACCGACATGGAGGGCTGAGCACCCAGACCCAGGGGCTGCCCGCACCACCCGGCACCACGGTGTAAAACCACCTCAACAGATGCATTTTAACATGTTCACGAATAAAGGAGCAAAGCTGGAGCAGGGGCTCGCCAGCCTCCTACCAGCACTGCACCCCGGCCAGCCTGGCCCCTCCAACCTCCCGGGGCGATGCCGGGGCAGCGCGGCTCAGCCGGCAGCTTGGGGCAGTGTCCCCAGCTCGGAGCATCCCACATCTTTCTGCTCCACTCCAGGGGGTCAGGGACCACCACAGCACTGAGGCATGTTCCTGAGTTAGGGGATTCACTGGGCTGGTCACAGCACCGTGGAGCTGGTTGGGGATTTTCCACCGGGACGGTTTCTAGCACATCCTGGCACATTCAAAAATCAGCGGTTTCCCATGGGGAAATTTCCGCTTCGTGGGCTTAGAGAGGGAAACCAGGATGAAGCGCTGCACCTCCGCTCTGCTGCAGCAGCTGCTCATGGTGGGAAACAGCATTCTTCCCCCGGCGAGATGCTCCGGGCGCTGGTTGGGGTGGGGGTACCCCGGCGGGTCCGAGGCAGGGCAGGCAGCACGGCTCTCCCCCACCCAGACCCCGAAGGGGAGCAGCATCCCGCAGGGGCTCAGAGCAGAACGGCTCCATCTTGAGTTTGCTGTCCCCAAGGGACTGGGACAGTGGGGAGACAGGGTGTCCCCGAGTCTGGCTGGCAGGAGGGGAGGTGTTGGGTGCCAGGCTGCTGTGCCCACTGTGCTCCTTTGCTGTCTCCTTGGCTGTCACCCATCCTGACACCCAGGCAAGCCGGGGGTTTGAGGTGCTACACACCCAATGGTAGCACCACGATGGGGCTTCGTGGGGTGGGCAGAGATGGGGAGGGGGTTCTGCAGAGGCTGCCTATGGGGCACGAGCCCTTGGCGCATCCCTGCACCTCCCAGACAAGGGGAAGGCATCTGTCCCGAGCAGGAGACACGGAGCTGGGGAAAAACCTGCTCCCACAGCAGTCTCAGCAAAGCCCAGCAAGTGAGGGGCTGCTCTGATCCCCCCCGCCGCCCCGTGCTTGCAGGAGGGGATGGGGTGAGGGCGAGGGGCAGCGTGGAGGAGATGGGGAGAGGATCCTGCCCACGGCCCCCCAGAGTAGGACAAACATGAAGTGCAGCTCCATCGGTGCCTCTGAATCCGCCCCCGCAGCAGGTTCAGGGAGAGGCTGGAGACAATTACCGTGCCGAGCCGTACGATCAGCCCCTCCGCTCCCAGAGCTGCAGGAGAGGGGTTTTATTAAAAAGGAAAAAAAAAATATATGGAGAAACAAAAAATCCCCAGCCCACACGCTTCTCTAGAAAGGAGATAAAATGCCTCGGAGGAGGAGGAGGTGTTGAAGAGAGGGAGGGCGGCAGCAGCGCAGCCCGGCACTGGCAGGGAAGGTGTGAAAAAGGGAGAAGCGGAGCATCCCAGAGCTGCTGCTCGGGCTGGCAGGAGGCCGTGGGGACAGGGCATGGGGGTCACACCTGGCCCGGGGGACCAAGGGGCTGCAGGGCTGGGACCCAGCAGTGCCAGAGCTCGGGGCTGGAGGGACAGGGCTGGCTGCTGGGCTGCAGGTCCAGCGTCACCCTGAAATGGCAGCTGTCAGGAGGGACATGGACGCGGTCCATACCCATGGCCCTGTGGGTGATGTGCCCGTCCAGTGCTAAAACTGGGACATGCTGTCTCCTCTGGGATGAATTCCCCACCTCTGAGCCAGGCAGAGATGGGAGACCCTGGCTGCCACCAGGGTTGGGGCTGGCACGATCCGAAGAGCCAGCGCCCTGGCAGGGAAGGGACCCACGCTGCTGCCGACGGCCAGGGAACAGGACGCGTCTCCTTCCAGAGGGGTTTCTTGCACCAAGATGGGGCTGAGATCCCTGCCTGGCCGCCCCTGCACTGCCCGCGCTGCCCCGCAAGCCCCTGCTGCAGTGGGGGATGCCTGCACTTGCAGGGAAGGAGATGCTGGATTTACATGGAGTCAAGGGGGAATTTTTCCCCCAGGCTGGGAAGGTCCCACATGGGGCTGGGAAGCATGGGAGCAGCCTGGCATGGGGACCAGAGCCCGTTTGTTGTGAAATGCCCAGCAGGGTCAAACACCCAAGGTGGGGGTGGTCTCGGCCAGCACAGACCCCCTCAAGGACCCGACTGGGACAGGGCTATGGCAAGTGTGCTGTACCCCTGGGTGTCCTGCACCCACACCCAGCACCTCATGTCCCCCTCACTTTCCGGGCTCACAGGGTCTCACTTGTGCTTCACAGAGCACAAATCGACATTTGGTTTCTGTTAAAAAGGCCTGGAGGAGTGAAAAACAATGAATGCAGCCAGGGGTGTGAAACCCTGCGCTCTGTTGGTACGGTGCATCCCGTCCCCAGCCGCCACATCCCACTTCCCACGGCTCCCCCTTCCCCGCAGTTTGGTTTAGCTCAAATAAATGGATGAGCGAGTGGCTGTGGGCACTGGGACCAGGAGTGGCGGGGGGTCCCCAGCCTCCAGGGGGTCTGGGACACCTACATCCCTCCAACCCCACGTCAGGTCCCGCAGCAAAACCTTGCAGCTGGGGTAGAAACCCCGAGCTGGGGCGGTGGGCATGGAGGCTTCCCTGCTTGCCGCGCTCACTCCTGCAGGCTTTCCTGGCACTGCAAAAGCAGCACACGCGTCTTTAGGAAAAAATGGGAAAGATGGGTCACAGGAGCTCACAGGACCCCCCAAACCCTGGGCAGTGCAGGGTTCCTGGTGGCATGGGGAGAGCGGCACCGTGGGGCTGGCGATGGCTCCGGTCTCCCCCATCCATGGCAAGCTGGATACGAAGCATTTTGCCCCCCGTTTCCAATTAATCCCCCCTAGACTACAGGGATATTAACAGTTCAGCTCTTCCAGCAGCCAGGATTAAATGGCAGGACGGGGAGGCCGGGAAGCGCCAGGGTGCTGTTCTCCCGGCTCCCGCCTGGCACGTGCCGTGAGCGATGCTCTGCGCGGCGGCGCTGGGCGCGGGGGCTGCCGGCTCCACCGGGGCTCCAGCCCCATCCCTGCGCACCCTGCCGCTCGCCTGTTCTCCTAAAGATCACATGCAAACCCAAATTGCCCGTCTCCACCCGCCCCCACCAGTAAAATCAATTATCCGCCGCCGCTTGCCAGCCTGCGGCCTTTTATTCCTCAGCAGGGAGCGGGAGCAGGGCAACGGGGAGCGGGGGGAAGGTGGAGCAGGAGGTGGGATTGCTTTTGATAGTTGTTATTTTAGCGATTGGAGAGGTTTGGCAGGAAAGGGAACCTGGTACAAAGGTTGTGCTCAGCAGGGCTGGAGCGTGCGTGTGCGTGTGTGTGTGTGTGCAATGCCGCAGCTCCCAGCAGCGCGCTGGCATGCTTTCAGTGCAACGAGCTGGCAGAGCTTGGGATACAGGGGCAGAGGGGCTTCTTTGGAGCATCCCAAGCACCCGTGTTTGTTTGCCTGCCAGGCTTCAGGAGACCCCTGCATGTTGGTTCACATGTGTGCAAGCCGCAGCACCGTCAGTCCCCATCCTGCTTGGCGCCAGTGGTCCTTACTCGCAGGGTCCCCTGGGCTGTCCCTGCCGGTGCCACAGGTTTGCAGCTGAGGGGGACCTTGCACTGCTCACTTGCACCCGCGGCTGGTGCTCGCACCAGCTTCTGCAAAGTGCTGCTGTGATTGCAAGGTCTAGAGCATGCAAAGACGCATACACGGGTAAAAGTGAAGCGGCTGAGTGCTGCGTGGCAGCTGCAGCCATCCTGGTGTCCCTCGGGAGCCAATACAGGGTAAATCACTGCCCCTTCTCTCCCCGGGGATAGGTAGGGCAGAGCCTGGGAGGGAGAGGAGGAAAGGTGCACGATGCCAGGCTGTCCCCAGGGGAGCAGGGAGGGTGGATGCTGCATTCATCCCCACGTCTACCTGTGTCCATCATCCCCCAAGGACAGCGCTGCAGGGAAGCTCACTGAGAGCCCTCCATGTTTTTCCCAAGCCCCTTCCCCAGCCAGCACCCATCCCCATCCCCATGCCCGTGGCTGCCCCTTGCCCCACAGGTACGTCAGGGCTGAGCCGTGCCCTTGCCCGTACCAAGCCCTTCACCTCTCCCTCTGGTTTCTTGTCTTCCCAGGGGCGCTTTCTCCATTGTTCGGAGATGCGTGAAGGTGTTGGCAGGACAAGAGTATGCGGCCAAGATCATCAACACCAAGAAGCTGTCTGCTCGAGGTAGGTGCTTGGGGCATTTTCACGGAGGCGAGAGGCAAGCAGGGTTTGCAGAGCAGGGAATTTTCTCCTCTGCACGGCGCCAGCATGATGCCTTGGATGTGTGATGAGGCAGGGGGTGTTTGATGTGCGGTGGGGGACCCCCTCATCCCACCCCGTCTCCACTGCGGTACACACTGACCTCCCTGATGGATGGGGAGAACATCCCAAGGGGACATCTTGGTGGCTGCTCACCGCATCCCATCTGATTGCAGGGATGCGCCTGCAGCTCGGCTGTGCCAGGGCTCGGGGCGGGGAGCTCCCGGACTCCAACCTGCCCGGGGAGCCGTAGGACCCCGTTTCTCTCCCTGAGATACCACCACCACCCTGCATGCCACGTCATGGCAAAATCATGGTTACAGCCTTGCAGCAAGTCAAACTGCTGCTGGCCTCGGGCGCTGGGTAGCGCAGTTATTTCAGGAGCATCGCCTCCCCAAGAGGCCCCCCGCTGACCCCGCTCTCAGGGACTGCGATTGCCTTACTTGTGTACCTACATCAGTGAAACGGGAAGGTCTTTTGGGTGTGGGATTGATTTCATTCCTGTCTGGAGATGGGCCCTCGCCCCTCGCTGCCATCTAATTAATCACTCCGATGGAGCACGCTGGCTGCTTTGCTGCTGGAAGGGGCACTGGCCGGTCTGTCCTGGCTGCTCCTCGGGGCAAGGCTGAGCTGAGCCAGCACAGAAGAAGCTTCAGCCAGCCCTCGCCCCGAGGCAGGGACCCCTCTGCCCCCAGGCATCTGGCAGAGGAGCTGTGATGAGGAGGATGGAGAGGATGGGACAGCAGCTGCTGTGTCCCCGGCTCTGGCTCCTCCTGGCCGAATGCGTTGGGGAGCGCAGGATGGGTGCCAGGAGCAAGCACCCTGCTGGGAGGTTTTAATTAACTCGCTCCCTCGGTTTCTCTCCCTGACGCCACTGCTCACCTCCGAAGGCAAAAATGAAACACAGAAAACAGTGACAAACTCCTTTCTGACCTCAAATTAAACCAGTCCTTTGCAATCTCCCTCCCACAGCGCTGCCAAAGTGGCACAGCACTGACACTGAGCTCTCCCAGCTGCTCCCCTCTTTGGGGATGCAGACCATCGCCTTCCTCCGAGGCCGAAGGCTCCCAGCCCCGGGCTGGGCTCCTGCCTGCGCACCCCAGCTGGCAGCGGGGCGGGCAGCAAACGCCTCCCGATTTGCAGGGGTGCCTGGAGGAGCAGATTGAGCTGCCTTCCCTCTGCTCCTCCTGCCTCCGCTCGCCCGCTCCGGCAGTTTGCCCCTCTCCATCCTCTTCTGGGGTTTGCACCATCCCTGCAGTGGCTCTGTGTCCATCTGTCCCCTGGAGAGACCTTGCCAGGGTTATTTTCCCTGCTCTGCCAGCTGAAATCACTAGCTGCTTTTGCTAACAGTCTTGAAATCCCCATTTCTGCAGTGCTAGCATGGGGCATGGTGCTTCCCCACGTTGGGAGCAATCGCCAAAGGGACACATCGCCACCGGGATGTGCCACCGGCTGTGTCACACGCGAAGGGCAGGAGGGAAGGTGTGCAGGGAGGAGAGGGGTTGGGGGAAAGGTGAGAGGAGCTGCAAAACATCCCCATGGTCTCTTTGGACATCCTCCCGGTTGCCTACATGGGGAGCCAGCAGGAGAGAAACTGGAGTTTTTGGAAAAGAAATGGGTTTTGGGTCCAGGCCACAGCTGGATTTGTGGGGCAGGAGAGGGGCTGCGGCCGTGGCTCGCTGCCCCCAGCAGCACTTCACTGCGTGGTGGCCATGCTGTCCTGCATGGGTGGGAGGATGCTCTGACCCACAGCAGCTGCCCCACAAGCTCCCAGGGTCCCTCTGCCTGAGCGACATCCCTCTGTCCCTTTGTCCTTCTCTCCCTCTGCCCTGCTGCTCTGGCAGAGCCATCCCACCTATGTGCAAAGCCCCTGCAAGCCGTGTCCCGGAGATTGGCACAGCCAGAAGGCTCCCCGCCAGCCTGCGGCCCCATGCAAGGGTTGTATCATGATGCTCAGAGGAAACTGCAGACCCGGAGACCCAGCCCTGGGCTCTTCCCCCGCTCCCAACCCGTCCTTGCTGTGCGTTGACGGCAGGACAGCTCTGCCCAAGCGGAACCCACGCAGCCTTGGAAAGAGCAAAGCCCCCGGAGCACAGCCTGCCTTCGCTCCCTGGGCAGCGGGTGCCTCGTTTCAGGCAGCTCTTCCCCTTGCATTTCGCAGCTGAGCCCATGACACCAGGGACAGCGATGGCCACGCTCCCTCAGGACCTATCCTACCAGGTGCTTGCACACCGAGGTGTGCCGAAGGGAAGAGCCGGGGTTACCCAGGGCTGCGTACCCAGGCGCTGCAGCCTCGCAGGCATGGCAGCCTCCTCCGCACCTGCACAGCTTCGCCCTTTGAAGGCCAGCTGGATGCGTTGGCGTTTGCCCGCCGGGGCATCGCTGCTGCGGACTGCCCGGGGGTCCCTGGGCCGGTGTCCCTGGCCCTCACCCCGTACGGATACGCACCTTTCCCAGCCCCTCCTGGGTCCCGCTGGGTCCCTGCTGCTGTCCCCTTCCCCTTCAGAGGGACCCATCTCTGCCCCCCTTTAAAATCCCTGATCCGTTTTCCATTTTGCCTGGTTTTCACTGGTCTCCCATCCCTTCCCCATGCTGTTTGCGGTTTATCGAACCCCACCAGCCTCCTGGTGCTCCCCACGAAGCTGCCTGTGCCGGGCTTTGCATTCGCAGGCGTTTTGGTGGCGACAGATTGCAAGGGTACAAAGAGGGGGGCAGCGGCTGGGGAGGCCGCACAGCGCTGCTGCTGCCGCAGCTCAGCCGGGGAGCCAGAGCCGAGTCAGGTGGCTCATGGCAGGGAAGGGACGGGGCAGCCTGTTGCCCCCTGCCAGTGGCCACGCTTGCCCCCGAGCAGCCAAAGGATCTTCTGGCAGCGACGTGCAGGCACACAGAGCGGTGCCGGGACCCGCTCCATACTTGGGGTTGCCTTCACCTCTCTTTCCTCTGATCTCTGGCCTCTTCTAAACAAGCAAAGGAGCTTTACTGGAAACCAGCAATACTGGGCTTCCCCATTTGGCCCCAGCCTCCAGCCTGCAGATGGGGAAACTGAGGCAGACAGTGATGATCAGTGACTCACCCAAGTTCTGGGGTGACTTGTCCGTGTCGAGCCCCACGGTTGCTGAACGGGGGATACTGAGCCCTGGGGAAGGCTCCAGCCCCTGCAGGGAAGGGGCTACGTATCCTTCACATCTCAGCGGTCGGAGACACCCGGGTTTGGTTTGATGCAGAGCGAGACTCTGGGGTGCGAACCTGCAAGGTAACAGCGATAGTGCTGAGAGACGAGCAGCCCTAATTATATCCTCGCTTCTCCCGGCTGCTGGGTTCCTGCTAGCCCAAAATACCTCCAGACAAGGCACCTCCACGCAGGGTGGCTGGGTCAGGTGTAAGGAGGCAGAAAAGTGCAGAGGCAGGGAAAAAGAAACAGAATGATTTGAGAATTCTTCCTCGGCTGCCCCAGGGCTGAGGCTTTTTTGGCTCAGCTCAACTGGCTTTGCCCAGAGCTACACTGTCTCACATCCCCGAGCCTGGCAAAAGCCGGGGAGAGGGACCCGTGCTGCCTGTTTGGAGCCAGGCACCAGGGCAAAGCAAATTTTCAGAGCCAGGGTTTTGCGATGTAGGAGAGCAAAAACATGACGTGAAATGGCTGGGGACGGAGAGGGGGAGCGGAGCGGATAGCCCTGTTTCAGCTTGACATTTCTCGCTGGTCGGCTCCATCTTTGTTCAAATTGTACCAGTCGGGGCCAGAAATGTCCTTGCTGACTGCCTGTGCCTGGCTGAATAAGAGAAAACCGAGCAGGCGCTGCTGGCACTGATACCTCAGGCAGCTCCAGGGTATTCGGGAGGAGATGGGGACTCGTTCAGCAAAGAGAAGGGAGAGAGGAGAGCGAGGGACCATCCAAAGCCCAGGACTGCCCATGGCATTGGTGCTTGGGGGGTTGGCTGGGGGCTGCGTCTGTGTGGGATACCGCCCATCAGGTTCCGATGCTGAACGTGTCCCCAAAAGTGTTATTCTTTAGCAAAAAAAAAAAAAAGGACAGGTTTGCTCCTTGCCAGCTGCTCTGTCCCCCCAGGTTTCCCGTGCTGGCAGCTCCTCTGAGAGAGCACAGCAGGGACTGAGAGCGCTTTATTCCCTTTCCCCAGACCCTAATTTAGGGCTGTTGCCTCTTTCAGATCACCAGAAGCTGGAACGAGAAGCCCGGATCTGCCGCCTCCTGAAGCACCCCAACATCGGTAAGCGCACCCTGCTCCCCCACCGCGTGTCAGCCGAAGAGCCGGCCAAATCTGCCCGTGCTCCATGCCCAGTTGCGCTGCCCGCCTGCCCTCCCATGCCCCCGCCGGGGCTGCGGGGGTCCCCACCAATAATTCAGCCCTGCTCGCAGCAGCACGGGCTGTTTGTCCTTCCACCGCCCAGGAGATGGAGCAGGGGCTCGGTGGCAGCCCACCCTGTTGATCCGTGGAGCTGTCCTTCCTCTTCCTCATGGGGAGGCAGCATCTTCAAACGGGGTCATGGGAAGAAAGGCCCTTACCGAGCGTGGGGGGATTGAAGTAGGTCCTACCTAACCCACTTGGCCAAAGCTCCCTCAGGGAGAAGCGGGGCCCCAGTAGGCTGCAAGGGGCTATTTTTAATCCTCTCCCCCCCCTCGGGTGCTGTATTCCTCTGCATGCTCCAAAAAAGCGGCTGCAGCTCCGAGCAGCAGCAGCAGCGCGGGGCGTGTAGGAGGAGCGATGGAGGGGGGGAAGCGAAGACTTTCCCACCGACCGTCCATCTGAGAGTAGCCTCCTTCGGAAAAGCTGTTTCAGGAAAACTCCTGAGCCCCTGCAAAAGGCAAAAATAGGCCAGAAGGAGAGAGAGAGAGGGGAGGGGAAAAAACTGCAGTAAAAAAAAAAAAAATCCCAAACCCCAGCCTTGAGAGTGATGCTGATGCAGGCTGTCGGTCCCCAGGGATGGTCCGGCAGTGGGAGCGCCGCGTCCAGAGCCATGGCTCTGGGGATGAACCCCCTCTCCCCTCTGCAGCAGCGATGCGCTGACCCTGCTGGGATCCTGCAGCTTTTGGGAAAGCATTTGGGGGTAGGACAGGAGCTCTGCAGCCCTCTCATCGCGCAGCCAGGAGCTGGGAGGTTTCCCATTTTGGCTGAGCTCCTCCCTGGCCCCCTCACTGCTCCCCGTGGCCTGGATCTTTCCCACCCTAGGAACCGCTGCAGCAGATCCAAGGAGCCAGACCCAGGGCCACTGGGACCAGCAACGCCACTCCTGCCCCATAAATATTTCAGTTCGGAAAAAGCCTGTCAGCTTCCAGCTGCCTCAGGCACACAGCTGCGTGGCAGGTCCTCTGCATTGCCGGGGCACCGGACCCCGCAGGATCCGGCCGCCATCCTTCCCCCTGCCTCCGCTCCTGCAGGACCGATGCCCAGCACAGGAGCTGCCCTGCCGGGGTCCTGGTGGGGCATCCAGCCTCCCCCAGTCAGAGCAGCAGCCGGGGCCTTTCCTCTGCACCAAAATATGCGTGGGGATTGCTGAGCCCTGAAGAAAACACACCGTGAAGTGTGTGAATAGCAAGAAATACTAAAACTGGAGGAACCCACCCTACGAGGACTTGCAGGATGGTAGCTGGGCCATGCAGCTGGAGCTCCCCAGGCTCCCAGCCTGGCACCAGCTTTTCCCTACCACTGCCTGCCTTTCTCCCTTCCCTCTCCATCCCCTTTCTGCGGGTCAGCCCCTCTCTGCCTCCTTCCCATCCCTGCACCACACCTCGCTGTTTGGCCATGACCTGCAGAGATAGCAGGCTTCTAGCAACCCTGCTGCACAGGACTAGAAGGGGTTAATGGCATGAGATCCTAACGAGCCCAATCTCGCTGCTATTTATACCCAAGAGGCTCTTCTCCACCCCCCCACCCCACACCCTCAACCCCCCCCACTGCTCCTGCTGCCTGGAAACTTGGGCTCACAGCTTCCCTTGCATGCAGCACAAGCCAGCTAATTACCCACCCCGGAGCTGGAACGCGCTGTGCCACTGCAGACCAGCCCTAATGAGAGCAAGAGGAGTCTCTGCTACCAGGGGCATGGGGAAGGCGAGGCAGAAAAATCCTTCTCCATCCCTCCCCAGGAGAAGCACCGCAGCTGCTGAGGGGCTTTGCTGGCCCCTTAATTTGTTCCCTGCAGCAAGGTGGGGTCCCTCTGTCTCCCATGGGAATGCTGTGCTCTGCAGGTGGGGGTTATTGCAGCTGTGAGTCCAGAAGAACCAACGTGTGCCTTGCACCATGCCTGCAGGAGAGCCTTGCATAGGAAGCCATGCACAGGCAGTCAAGGGCAGGTCCAGCACCGGGTGATGTATTTGGGATACCTGCTGTTTCCCAAAGTTGCGTGTCCTTGCAGGGAAGTCTTGCTTTATCAAGGAAACTTTGGCTACACCCAGCCCTGGAGTTTCAACTCCGGGTACCCATCGTCTTCGGCCCCTCAGTCCTGACACTGTGTCCTGCTCCTGCCTTGGCTCTCGGCACTGAGCTGGAGTGGTTTGGCTGGTGCAGCTCTTTCTGACTATGGTCAGTAACAGATACTTGCAGGACCTGGCTATATTTAGAGGGGCTGCTCCTTCTTATACCTTCTCGGCTCCTGGCAGCCACGGGCATTGGGACTTCCCCAAGCATATCTGGACCATCTGCTTATAGTTACACTGGCCCTATCCATGCTGAACTCGCCTAATCCCCCTTTGGACGCTTTGGCTTCTGCAGGACCCCAGGTACAATACCCCCAAATTCCTCTCGGGTGAGATGAAATGGGAGAAAATGTGTTTCCTCCAGCAGAGGAGGGCAGAAAAGCTGGTATTATGTGTCATTGAAAAACAGGGAGCAGACAGAGGTGTCGGAGCGCAGGGGATGTCTGCGGAGGCCGGCAGTGGGGAAGGATAACCAGGGAATATGATGAGAAACTTGCATCCATAGACAAGAACGCGGGAGACCCCAAGAGGAAAGATGCCGTCTGGCTCAGCAGACCTCCTCAGCCCCTTGCTCGGGCCGGGTGAGGCGATCCCGCTGGCATCTCGCTCTTGGCAGCTGCTGGATCTGCCCACTGAGCTTGGAGGAGTAGGACCACCCCAGCGGCGTTTGCTGGCCTGGGAGATAACAGCGATGCAGCGCAGCGTCTGCACTTGGTGGCAGGGCTTGTTATCTCCCCCGGCTCAGGCTTGAGTCTGGAGGATGTTTCCGTACAGGGCTCAGCTGATTTAGTTGCAGTAAAATGGGCTAGGAGCAAAAATTCCCACAGAATCATTCACCTGAATGTTTCCTTTTCCTCCCTGGTTTCCAAAGATCTCAAAGATGTTAAAAAGTTGTATCAAGCTGAAACCAGGTGAGCAGAGAGGAAGGGTTAAATATTTACAGCCTCAGGGAAATTGGAACAAGATGTGAGGTGGGAGGCAGAGGATGCTGGACCAGGCTCTATTTATATGTCCTACCTGCTTCTGTCCCTGTCCCCTTGCTGCACATCTGCCTGCTAAGCTGTGAGCAGGGATCTAAGCCTGAATAACCCAAACCCAGCTGCAGGGTAGCAGGTTTGCACCAGGCTCTATTTGGCAAGACGTGCCCCAGGGGAGAGCGTGCCTTCCTCCGAATGAAACTCATCCTGCAGTGATTCCTGGATATCCCCAACCTGAGACCTCCCAAGGAGAAAAGGAAGGTCACGAGCAGAAAATAAAAAAGCCCTATCGGTGCCAGGGCTGGCAGCCCAGCGCCCTGGCTGAGCAATCCCTGCGCCTGGGCACCTCTCCTGACAGGGCAGAGGGCTGGGGGCACCCGTGCCCAAAGCCTGCCCAGTGCCCAAGATAGCCCAGCAGCTGCCCGGGACCTCGGCCAGGCACCAGCCCCAGGCAGTCCCTGATTTGGATCTGACCTTTGAGCCTTGCACCGCTGCCCAAGGCTGGGGCTGTGGCTGGGGTCCCCCTTTGAGCGGGGGGGACCGCCCATCCAGCCGGCAGCAATAGCAAGAGGAGGATGGAGGAGGAATAGCCCTGCTCTGCTCTGCTCTTCCCCAGCTCCTGCTTGTGCCCAAAGGGGATCAGAGGCATTCCCGGGGAGTGGGGTGGGAGCCAGGCATACCCTGTAACCCTTCTGTCTCTGCCACAGTGAGGCTCCACGACAGCATCTCCGAAGAGGGCCACCACTACCTGATATTTGACCTGTGAGTAATGGTTAAATGCATCTCTTAATCCACCGGCAGCTGCATGCTTCCACCCCAGGGCGACGTGCCCTGCACCCCCACAGCCCCCCCTGAGCTTTGCCCCATCCGCCACCTCACCCAAGTCCTTCCCACAGGCTGGGTTTGAATCAAGCTCAGGTCCCCCAAACCGGGCAGAGGGCAGGTCCCTGCCCTGCACCCCCACGGGGCCCCCGTGCATGGTGCAGCGGCATTTCGGGGGGGTTTGCCAGGGCTGAGTGTGCTGTAAATCAATCCAGCTCCCTTGTGTGCTGCGCTGAGATGGCTGAGCGTGACTCCCCCCGTTTCCTCGCAGGGTCACCGGTGGGGAGCTGTTTGAGGACATTGTGGCCAGGGAATACTACAGCGAAGCGGATGCCAGGTGAGCAGGGACACACACCAGGCCACGGAGGGGACAGCAGTTGTCCCCTTCTCCTGCGAGCTGCTCCCTCCCAGGGTCCTACGTGTCTGGCTTTCTGCAGCATAAGCTCCTTCCATGCTGGGAAGTGTTTTACAGCCGCTCTGCAGCGTGTACTCATAAACCAGATGTGTAGTGCAAAAAAAAAAAAAAAAAAAAAAAAAAAGCTCTTTTTAACTCACTCAGCTCCTGTGCCAAGAAGTGCGTGTGTTACTGCAGGGCTGGTCCCCACCTCGAACCAGGCGGCTGCCAGCCATCGCCCACAGCATCCTCCTTCCTTCCCGGGGCTGATGGCATAGCCCGCATCTGACCTCCCTGTAAAGGAGCAAGGCATTGGGGCTCTCTGGGCTGGGGGTATCGGGGCTCCCCAGGCAGGGGACAGCAGGGGTCCCCAGGCAGGGGACAGCAGGGGTCCCCAGGCTGGCAGGGAGGAAGCCCAGCATCAGGCTGGTGCCCCAGCCGGGAGGGTGGTAGCACAGACACCCTGCAGTCCTCACCCTTTTCCCTCGCAGCTACAGTACAGAAACAAGCATTTCTCTGGCATTTACCACTTGAAAGCACTAAGGAGGAGCAGTCAAGACAGGCTGGGTGGGAGGATGTGCTGGAGCTCCGCTCTGTCCCACGCTCCTGCTGGCACTTTCCAGGTACCCTGCTGCAGAGGCAGGGGACTGGGTACCATTTCAGCCACCCCTTTGGTCCTGGCAGCTCGGCCAGGGGACAGCATTAGCCTCATTTTTTTTTGAGGGGACATGATTTGGCTCTCTCCAGTCTGCAGATATCCCTGTGCCTGTTGGCTTTGCCCCCAGGATAAGCATAGCCCGTACAAATGTCCAAGGGGGTGGAAAGCTCTACACTACCTCTGTCTGCATGGAAATATCCCTTATTTCTAGGCAGAAAGCAATCTCATTTAATGGACTGCCTGCACTGAATCCACTTACAACCCATTCACTTATTAGTGTCATACAAATAAAATAAAATACATGTAAATAAAGACCTTCTGCCTTGCATGCAACTGTTTTGGAGCAGAAGTGCTCATCGCCTCAGTCTTTTTCCCTTCCTTTCTCACGCATGCAGCAGAGCTGAGGTTTAATGAACTAGATATAAAGCAAACAGACGCAGTGAGAGCTGCCCGCGTTAGAGGAGGCCAGGGAAATGGGGCTGAAGCGAAGGTTAGCTCTACGTCTAAGGATCACATCTGCTCTGCCTGGGTTTGGAGACCAAATCTGGGCCGGCATTGCAACTCCACCACTGATCTCCAGCTCCCCCCGCAGTGTTGCGTCTCTGGGGACCCCACGCGCTCTGCCGTAGCCCCCGTGCTCCTGCTCGCCACGGCTGGGTGTCCAGCAGCTCTGGTGGGGTCTTACTGGGTTACAGCTGCTCTCCACAGGTGTGTGGCTTTCGGTGGAGGGGAACACTGAGCTGTGCTGCGGGGCTGCTGGTGGGAAGCACGATGGGGAGAGGGGCAGAAAGGATGAAATGCAGCCAAGTAGAAGTGTCTAAGTAAACTCTGCCTCGCTGGACACTTCTGTGAGCTTTCTCCTCTCTCCCACAGCCACTGCATCCAGCAGATCCTGGAGGCCGTCCTGCACTGCCACCAGATGGGGGTGGTCCACCGGGACCTGAAGGTAGGAGCAGCAGAGGAAGGGCCTGTGGGAGGACGTGGGGACCCCATTTGCGATGCAAAACCCTGTGGAGCAATGCCCAGGGTCCTCCAGGGCAGCTGAAGCACAGCAGGGAGGAAGACCATGTAGGGCTTCTGGAAAGCCACAGAGCAAAGACCAGCTCCAGGGTGAAAGAGCATGAGGGAGAGAGGGTAGGGAGGTCCTTGTAGTCCATGGTCCTCTAAAGATCCACGGACATCATGACACACAGAAGGACAAACCGGTCAGGAGGAGCCCTGACCTTCCTCCCTGCTGTGCTGGAAGCTCCCCCGTGATGGCAGAGTCCCTGGGGGGGGGGTTTTGCTCCTCTCCAACCCCTGTCTCCTCCTGCAGCCTGAGAACCTGCTGCTGGCATCCAAGCTGAAGGGTGCCGCTGTCAAGCTGGCTGACTTCGGCCTTGCCATCGAGGTGGAGGGGGACCAGCAAGCATGGTTTGGTGAGTAGGACTGGCCCGAGGTGGGCATCCTCCAGCCCTCATTGGTGTGTTTGGTCGGGGGGGTCTCCAGGAGGGACACGCATCCCCAGGACCTGAACCCTGGACTATGGGAGTGCCCCGGCAGCACCAGCCTGGGAGGCAGGGTAGATGAGGATGGCTCCAGCTGTGCCCCTGGAAACAGCCCAGTATTGATCCAGGGCACAGGCAAACAGCTCCACAGGGACTCAGTGAGTCACTGAGATGTCCTGGTGAGCTGGACAAGCTGGTGACGGAGGCAGACCCAGGGAAGGAAAGCTTCGTCCAAGAGCTGGAGGTGCATGCCAGAGCACCCCAGCCTTCTGCACCATCCTGGGGTTTGGCTGCTGTTGCTGTTTGCTCTGCTCTCGGGGGACACAGAGGTTTCTGGAAGGAAGGTGCCCATCCCACCGCCTCGGCATGTGCCAGGGCTCTCTGCTCTCGCGGTGGCTGGCCGGGCACCAGGCAAGCTGTGTGGGGATGGGGGCTGCCTGCCAGCAGTGCATGACAAGCTGTCTGTCCCAGGTTTTGCTGGCACCCCGGGATACCTCTCCCCTGAGGTGCTCCGGAAGGACCCCTATGGCAAAGCCGTGGACCTGTGGGCTTGCGGTAAGTCAGACAGGGGCTGAAATGCCGGGAGCGGGCTGGGCTGGGCTGGGTGGGATGAGTCAGGCTGTTGATCCACTGTGTCCCAAGTCAGAGTTGCTAGACACATCTCGGGGAGGTCAGGGCGGAGGATTTACCCAAGAGGTGGCACATTACCCTGGGCTGTCCCCAGAGCAGCACCCTGCTTCCCAGTCCAGTGGCACCTTCCTCTGAAGGATCAGCCCCCTTGCTGCACACCCAAAGCTCCCAAGCAGGGGAGATGCCAGCTCTTTTGCCCTGCAGTGCTGGTGGAGTCAGGCGATGCCTCCGCATAGCTGCGGCCGCAGGGGAGCCTTCTTCCACCCGCGATGGGGAGGAAGCATCACCCAGCCCTGATGGGGCTGGGCGCGGTGATGGGGCTGTGCGCAGTAGCTGCCAGAGCCATGTGTCTGGCTCAGCCACGTATCTCCCCAGCCGCTGAGCACGTCAGCATGGAGCTGGACCCACCAGCGAGCCTTTTGCTTTTTAATCAGAGAGCAAATCCTTCCGTTTCCCTAATTTCTCAGTTTCTCTGCTTGAGTTGGGCCAGTCCACAGGCTGGGTCTGCTCATACCTTCCACAATGAGCTCTCTCCCACTGATCCCACATCTCCTCTCCTGGGCAGGTGTCATCCTCTACATCCTACTGGTCGGGTACCCGCCCTTTTGGGATGAAGACCAGCACCGTCTCTACCAGCAGATCAAGGCTGGGGCTTATGATGTAAGTGGGTTTGTCTTGCTCCCCCCTTGCACTGTTCTCCCCTCTCTCCTGCTGTCCCTACGTTGCAGTCTGCTGCTCCAGAAGGCAAATTCAGACAGATGGAAGCAAGTTTCTTTCCTCTGCTCTGATCACAGAGGGTTGGCCGAGCTGCCGTGCCCAGGTGCACACACTGGCACGTTTCAGGTCCACTTTGCAGGACAGATAGGTCTTGTCCTGGGCCTTCCATCTTTCTCCCTCCACCCCTGCTCTCCAGTTTTCCAGCTGGCAGCTCTTTCCAGTTGCTACTGTCTCTCCAACCTATCCCATGGGCGGGAGCAAAGGGTTGCAGGAGAACCAACCCAAGTGCAAAGGGACTTCTGCTCCTTCCATTGCTCCCTGCCATTTCTCACCTTGGTCCCTTTGTTTTCGCAGTTCCCCTCCCCTGAGTGGGACACAGTCACTCCCGAAGCAAAAGATCTCATCAACAAGATGTTGACCATAAACCCATCCAAGCGCATCACGGCAGCGGAGGCTCTGAAGCACCCCTGGATATCGGTGAGTTTGGTGGCACTCACTGGTTGGGGTTGAAGGTCCAGAGATGTGGGGGTTTGCAATAGGGGAACATCTCACTGAGGAGCACGTGTTATCAAACATGCTGTCCATCTCTTTTCTCCATCCTGGAAGACGGTTTCCTGGCATGGTTTCTCCCAGTGCTCTCAGAGCAGCCTTTTCCCCAAAGCTTTACAGCAGAGAAAAGCCCAGAGTGTGAATGCAAACAGCGTGTCCCAGGGGAGCTCCTGATGGAAGGGACATGCACGTTCCCAGCCCTGGTGGGGACAGGCTGGTTTCTTGGTGTCACGCTGTGCTGGGGGGGCCTTTCCTCAGGGTGGGTGGGAGTAATCTTGTGTTTATCCATCCGTCCACCCCAGCAGCAATCCTCCCCTGCCCCTCGCTGCACCCCGCTGCTCTGGCTGCTGGTTCTCACTCTGAATCAGCTCCTAAAGGCAGGAGGAGTCCATGGGCTTAACCCTGGGGCCCCACACCACGTGCAGACCCGGAGCACACTGCTAAACGTGGCCAGTCAGTCGAGGGGTTAACTCAGGGGGCAGCCAGCTCTTCCTGCAACCCCCCCCCCACCGCCAGAGCAGATCCTGCTGACTCCAGAGCTGTGATCTCCCACTGCCTATTAAAGTTTTATCTGCTGCTGCTGCTGCTGCACAGCGTGCAGCACGTGTGCATGCGTGTGAGAGCGGGGCCGGGGGAGCCCCTTCCCCCTCGGCGCCTGCTCTGAGCCGGGTCTCTCTCCTCCCAGCACCGTGCCACCGTGGCGTCATGCATGCACAGACAGGAGACGGTGGATTGTCTGAAGAAGTTCAATGCCCGGAGGAAGCTGAAGGTAACTCTCATAGTCTCCAAGCTGGCTGCAAAATGCATGATAAGGTCATTGGGGCGTTTGTTCCCCAAGTGGGAAAGGACAGGGTGGTGTCTCTGGGTCAGCGGTATGGGGGTGATGGACATTTGGAGATCCCTGTTGTGAAGAAGGAAAAAGAGGCCAAGTGGAGTGGCGGCTGCATCTGGCTGGGGTTCCCAACTGCTTAGAGGAAAGCTGTGGTGAAGGAAAACACTGAGTCACACAGCAGCCCTGGACACTGGGGCAAGGACTTTCCAACTGGAGTCAGCGTAAAGAAAGCTCCTCTTTGGGGCAGGACATGGATCTGAGCGGCACAGTGAGACCCCTTTGCCTGATGGCCAAGCGATGTAGCAGCCAAGGAACAAAGTCATCCATAGACAGGCAAAAAGCTCTGGCTCACCCACACCAGCAGCCCCAGAGGCTTTCCCTTCTCGGATGCTGCCGTGTGCCGCAGCCCGTACCCCCTCCAAAATCACCATCTCCCCAGGCTTCACCATCGAGCTGGAGCACCTCCCTGAAGCACCCATCTCCCGGCTGCTGCTCAGCCTCAGCCAGCAGCACGGCGCAGGGAACGGGCTCTGGAAATCGCAATGTGTCCTCCAGAGCCGGAGACACAGAATGGGACGGTGCTGATCTGTGCCACGGTCAGACCCATCATTGCTCCAGGCCTGAACACGATGTGGCACAGAGCAGTATAGCTGCAGGATACTAACAAGATTATCAAGAAAAGAAACTGGCTATAAACTACTATTACTTTTCAGCTAGACAAGTGATCAAATTAGTTCAGGCATACACTTCAAAATAGTAATCCATTACTGTAAGCAATTAGTCCAAAGTAATCTCATTATATGCTGAGCAACTAGTTAGTAGAGTCAGCTGGAACAGAGGAAACATTTTTATGAATGTTATTTTGCAGTGGTGATCTTTGCGTGGCTCCCATGAAAAATTCCTGCCCTGCTGCACGTAGCTGGCACGGCTTTAATTGCCATTAAATCCGGTTCCGCTCCCGGTGGCTCCCCTCACCGCCAGCTGCCGGCCCTGGTCAGTGGAGTCGTGCTACATCTAGGGCAGGGTAGAACGAGACCAAAATGCACCCCAGGGATATTTAATATCCCTTTAATCTTGGAGGGAAAGCAGTTTTGGAGAATGCAACCCAATGCCCTGGCACTGGGGATACGGAGTCGGGTACCGAGGGCTGCTTTTGATGACAGGAGGAGAATATCAGCCCGTGGGCCAGTTTCCTTCCAGCGAGGTGGCCAGGGGACAGGTGACGCACAGGGCTTTCCTCCCCCAGGGCTGGCGGGAGCGGCAGGGGTCCGGGGGGCCAGGGCCCAGCATGCCCCTTTCCTTCTGCCTTCTCTGTCTTTCAGGGAGCCATCCTCACCACCATGCTGGCCACCAGGAACTTCTCCGGTAGGTGCCGTCTCCGGGGGCTCATCTCCTTGTCTTACAGGGTGCCCAGGGCAAACCCGTAGGATCCCTGGAGAGCCGGCTTTGCCTCGGGTGTCACAGTGGGGCTGAGGTCCTGGTGCCTCTGGGGATTGGGTGGTGGTCCAGGCCAGGCCACCTGGTACCTCCAGGCTGGCTGCTGGCTTAGGATGCAAGAGAAAAAGTGCCTGGCTGAGGCACAGCAGTCCCCAGAGGTTTAGATTTTTGGGATTTGTATGCACCCACCCATCTGGCTTGTGCTGGGGTGGGGATGTGAGTGCTGGGGGCAGCCAGGGCTCAAGGCAGCTGTTTTTGTGTCCTCCTGGAGATGTTTGTGGCTCAGGGAGAGCATCCTCTGCACCGGGAAAGTGTCGGGAAGGTCCCCAGGCGCCACTGGCAGCAGGGTCCCTTGGGTCCCTCCCCAGGCAGGAGGGTGCTGATCCTGCGGGGCCCCCCACTGTCCTCCTGATTCCCTACGTCCCGAGGGCTGCATGGAGACAGAGGAGCAGGGACAGAGCACGGCAGCCCAGCCTGTGCACCAGGAATGGTCTCTGTTGCAGCCACAAGCTGCCCCCTGCCCCAGTGCCCTTGCTGAGAGCTGTCGCCTCTGGGGACACCCTGCTGCCTCGGAGCAAGCCATGCAGCTGGGATTTCAGAGGCAGGGATCATCAGGTCCCAGTGATTCCCAGGCATGGAACCAAAAAGGAGCCGGGTGACTGTAAAGCTCATCCACTCACTGTCACCTCCAGCCATCCCCAGCGCTGGGGATGGCCCCGGCAGAGGTGGGACAAGCCAGCCAAGCCTGGCACATGGGCTGAGCGGGCTGGTGGCAGCTGTTTGGTGTTAGATGGGTGTTTTGGGGTGTTTCGCCAAGGCGCCCCAGGAGTTGAGTGTAGTAGGTGGGCAGGGGGTAGATGGGGGCTGCTGGCCCAGCCAGGTGCTGGAGGAGGGTCACAGCTGGGGCTGGTATCTGCATTTGTCGTGGGGGGATCGTGCTGACACATTTAGCACTTGTGGGCAGTGTGCGGCAGGGCTGGAGGAGTCCAACAGCTGGGGGGATCCGGTGTCAGGCCCCGCGCCGGCAGACGTGGCGAATGCAAAGCATCAAAGGGCAGGAAATTCAAAAACATCTCTCGTAGCACTGCCTGTCCCACGCACAGCCCAGGGGCTCGCCGGTCCCTCCTGCCCAGGAGCACAGCGGGGCCAGCGGGCGATGGGATCCCATGTGGGGCTGAACCCCATCGATCCCACCCTGCCCTGGGGGCGCAGGGGGAGCGGGATGGCTTGCGCAGCCTGGGGGGCTGGGGCAGTGCCGGCAGCGGTAGGTGGGCACCAGGGAAGGCATCTGCTTTTCATCATTGTCAAAATGTGGGCTGCAGCTGTTGGGCCGACGGGCCGGCAGCACATGATCCCGGCAGCATGGGGCTAAAATTAGAGGGCGGCAGGCGGGCAGCCCATTCCATTGCGCTGCGCCGCGCTCGGTCACCAGCACCCCCCGGCCGGAGCCCGCCTGCCACCGGACGGCCCCGCCAGCCCTCTCCGAGCCACCCCGAGGACTCGGCGTATCGAGGAGATGGGTCATGCCCCTGGCTGAGAGCCACTGGGGTAGGACGGGACGGTGCCGGCAAGGTTGCCCCTGAGCTCCTGGGGGTTGCACCAGGGGTTGCTGGAGAGAGGACAAAACCCACCGGCTGGGCCCGTGGGGGTCTGCCGGCCTGCCACCCGGCACCATCCTGCTGCTTTTGCGGGCCCGGGGGGCCCCTGCCGCTCTGCCACCCGGCACCATGCTGCTGATCCTCGGCCTCCTGGTCTTGGTGCCCTGCCTGGCTCTCCTAACCTCCTTCCTCCTCTCTCCAGGAGGCAAAAGCGGTGGCAACAAGAAGAATGACGGCGTGAAGGTAAGCCCCCTCCCTGCCGCTCTCTCCCACCTGCCCCTCCGCTGCTGGGGCAGCGGTGGGGGTCTCCATGCCATGCTGGCGGTCCCTGCGACACCCTACGCTTTAAAGGGCAGCTGTTGGCCCGGCTGTCCCGGTGTGTCCCCATGCCACCAGCTCAGCTCCTGCCAGGACAGGCAGTGCACAGGAGGCTTTGCAGCGCGGCGAGCAAGGGGAGCTGGAAGGGTGCACGGGGGGAATTCACTGCTGTTTCATTGCCTGCAAAACACGCTCTCCCCTTGCTGCCCTCAGGGACGGGGAGAGGCAGAGGCTGGACCAGCAGAGGGGACAGGGGGAGGCAGCTTTGCAGCCCGGAGCCACGACTTCAGCCTGGCAGCAGCTGTCCGGCCAGATGGGCGTGTGCCCTGCTGCGGCTGGTGGGGCTGGGCTCACCCCCCGGCTCCTGTCCCATCCCATCCCCAAGGGCTGGTGTGCTGCTGGGTGGCGTATGGGTGCCTTTAACCCTCTCGGCAGCACTGCTGGCTCCCTGTGCCCAGTGCAGACAGGACAAAGGAACTTGGTGATGCTTGACAGAGCAAATGGCTTGGTGATGCTCTAAAAACAAGCCGGTGCTTGGTGGACCTTGTTTCCTGGGTGGCAGAGCCCTCAGGTTCGCCTGCCCCTCCGAGGTGGGGCCACAGCTCTTCTCCAGGACAAGGTGGCTCCTGGAGGCAGCAAAACCCTGCTGCTGAGCAGCTTCTTCTGATGATACGGAGATGTGTGGTTAGCGAGCTCTGTCAAACTCCTCCTGCAGGAAGGAATGGTCCATGCGAGGGTCTTTCTCTCCCTACCTGTTCCCTTCATGAATACAAGCCATCACTCAGCAGGGCAGAGCTGGTGTGATCACATCCCCCATCGCAGGGCAGGGGTGCGAGGTGTCAGGCAGAGCTTTGGGACCCTGACTGCAGCATGGCTGCTCTCCTTCCTCTGGCCCTTTTGTAGGGACCCAGCTGTTGGGCTGTGAGGGGCGCAGGGTTTTGGAAGAGCAGAGCCTTCAGCTGGCTTCTTCCCTCCTCAGTCCAAATGGTCAGTGGAGCCAGAGGTCGAGGGATGGCTTGTCTTTCTCCCACTCCTTCCAGACCCAGCGGCTGGGACAGGACAAGCCTGCAAAGCTTGAAACCATGCACAACCCTCCAGACCTGGGCTCAGCTCCACAACAGACTGTTCTGGCCATGCAGCATTATTCGGCAACATGAAGCTGATGGCCTGCATTGCTATGAGAGGACATTTCTTTAGGCTGTGGTGTCAGGATATCACGTGGCTTCCAGGACAGCATTGCTAGGTTTGGACAACAGTGCTGGCACAGAGGGGACAGGTCCCATGGGAGTCACAGCAACCGATCTGCCAGCCACTGCTGGCCTGTCCTCTGCTGCTCTGAGGTCCCGGCTGCTTTTGGGAGTCACCTGAGAAGTGACACCCCAGGTAGAGCTGACTTGGTACAAGTTGCTGGAGTATAGGTGAGAGCAATCAGGAGATGTGTTTTTAAGCTGTAAAAGGAGAGATTGGTGGATGGAGAGGCTTCATCAGGCACAGTCCCGAATCTAATTTTCCAGCAGAAAGGGACAGCCTTGAATTTAATCTGTAGCATCGCCAGGATGGTGTGGTGGTAGAAGACCATTTGCCAGCCCAACTTGCTAATGATGCTGCCTCTTGGAATTCAAAGTAGCTTTGAGGACAGACGTTATCCTGGGAAGAGGGGCACTTGCTGTCGTAGCAAAATAGCTAGTTTGGGTAAACAGTCTTCTGGCCCATCACTGAAACTCAGCAAGGACGGTCTGGTTTCAGAGCAGGATGGGAGCGGCTGGGTTGTATCCCCAGCCCTCAGCCCCTCGCTGGTGAGCGGGGAGCAGTGAGTGAGGCTTCATCCTGACTGCAGTCTACCAGCCGACACTCAGCTCAAGAGGGTGTACAAGCTCTGGAGATTGAGATTGCTTTTTTATTGCCCCCTTTCCAACAAATGGAGGCGAGACAGCTTGGCTAGATGGCCAAGAAGGTAGAGGAGGAGAAGACAAAGTAGGGGCGAGCTCATTCCCTAACAGGTTTCTTGTGTTGGCCACCTTCAGCATTACCATTCCCACCTCTCATTCCCATGCTCAGCCTGGGGGAACTCTCAGCGTAACCCACTCACGGGGGCACGGGGAGGCTGGGTGCTCCGGGCAAAGCTTTAATGGCCCACCGTGGGCAGCTGGCAGATGTCAGGGCATCGCTGGGCAGTGTTCATTTCTGTCCATCTTGCTGGAAAAGCAAGGCAGAAACATGGAAACCTGCCTTGGGCGGGTGGGAAGGTGGGAAGGGAAGGGTCCTGCCTGCTCAGAGCAGGGCTGTAAGTCAGGGCAGGTGGTGTGGTTCATTGTCAGAAAAGTTGTGTCCCCATTTGGAGAAACCTGCTGGACTGACTGTCCCCATGAGAGCAAGCAGGTCCCAGGCAGCCACCCCTGCCGTTCCTGCCCAAAGCTATGCAGGTGGGCAGCAGGTAGCTGGTGCTGCCCTCCAGCCTGCCTGCACAGTCCTCTGGCACCGGGATGGTGCTAGCCCAGGCTCAGAGGGCTCAAAACTCACTCTCCCGAGGAGGTTCCTCCCCTACTAAAAGCATTCACGGGACCAAAAATCCCCCTCGAGCCCTGCTCTGGGGTCTGTGGGAGGTCTTCTGGTCCCAGCAGCTATGATACCTTCACTGCCCTGTGTAGTGTCACATCTCGTCGCATTGTAAACTAATGAAATCACTGCCCCATGTTGCATCCTGTCCCGTCCTAAATTAATGAACTCACTGCCCCGTGTTGCATCCTGTTACTGTATGTCCAGACTCGACGCGGTCACTGCTTTGTGTTGCATTCTGTTGCGTCTGAAATTTCTGCAGTTTACTGCCCCGTCTCATGTCCTTGGGTAGCAGAAGCTGTCAGCCCTTCCTGCAGACAGCCCAACTCCGGCGGCTCCATTTCCCATGAAGTTCCTTCCGAAATACTGCAGCTTGCTCTGCCCTTTAGGACATCTGTTGTTTCGGTGAAGGAGGGGTGAGGATTAACGTAGGACCTAGCGAGGGAGGGGAGAGCTGCACCGCAGAGGGGGAAACTCAGTGACAATGCTGGTGGGAGCCACTTAGGATGTGAAAGGAGCAATGAGGGGGAATGGATATCAGCAGTTTTTACACTGCAGCCCACCCATGCACCCTAACGGGTCGCTCCATGGACTTTTCCAAGAGATTTGCACTGTGTGTGCTGCTTTTCCCTCTGCAGGGCAGGCAGAGCCAGTGCCTCGTTAGATATGCTGGTAAAACACTGTGGTTTTTGGCACTGTAGCTTCTGATTCCTGCACGCTGGTGTTCCCTGTCACCTGCTGTGATTCATCCCCTGGGAGCTGGAGGTGGAAAAAGGGCCTGAGGCCAGCATGTGCGTCCCCCTGTCTCCTAGCTAGATTAAAGATGGAGACGGGGAGCAAAGCACAGCAAAGAAGGAGAGCCTAGAAGTAGTTTGGGATTGCAAGCAGAAACATGGCTGTGGGGTCATCCAACCCAAAAGCCTTAAAGCCTAGTGGTAGTGGTCAAGGATGGAGATAAATATGTGCATGCGTAAGGTCTTCTCTTTGGAGGAGACTTGTCCTGATTTAAAGCATTGGAGCTGTGTGCTCAGGACAGCTTCCCACATGGTGTCTGCCTTGCGGGGTTGAGTAGCAATAGCCACGCTGGCTTTAAACCAGCCAGCTTAGTACTGGTCTAGGTCCAAAGCTAATTGAGCATCTCCACGCTAGTCAGCAGCATGGGAAGATGCACCCAGAACAGCTCCAGAGTCTGTAAACATCAGTACGGCATTCACACCGGGTGCAGGGCTGTGCAGGTGGGGGAGCTGCCTTAGCTTTTCAGCATCCCACTCCTGTTCCTGTGAGCTTGCTGGCCTGGTCACGAAGCCAGCAGAGTGGTCATCGACTCCTAGGGGACTCCCTTTTGGACTAGGCAGGTCCTTGGGATGAGCAACACCAGAGATTATGGCAGGTCAGGAGAGAAAGGTGCCAGCAGGAACGCGGGGAGGGAGCTGGCATGGCACCACCAGCACCGCAGCCAGCGGCACATCCCTACGGGAGCAGCAGGTTGCCCCCCCGTGCCTTTCGTTTGCCCCTCCACGAGGACCACGAAGGGTGGCTCAGGAGCTGCTGCCTCTCACGTGCCGCTCTCTGCCTTTCTCACTCTGTGTCTCTTCCTGTTCCATCTCTTCTCCTTGTTTTTCCAGAAAAGAAAGTCCAGTTCCAGCGTTCAGTTAATGGTGAGTGTCCTTCGTCTTCCTCAATACCGATATTGCTGGGCCTCTCTACATGTTCCAGCTTCCCCCGTTTTTGGAAGTTACCTCCGGGTAGGGAAGAAGGGACACTGGGGTTGGAGGGAACATCCTCAAAGCCGTATCACCCACAAACCCCATTAACAGGGTTGGTGCAGGCACTTGCTGGCCACCAGCTGGTGGGAAGCCAGCCCTGGTTCTTGCTGATGGGTTCTCATGCCGTTTCTCCCAGTTCTCCTGACTCAGGTCTGCAGGCTGCATCGGTCCAAGGAGCCTTGGAGAAACACCTTCCATGCCTCTGCGGGGACTGTATGGTCATGGGACACCTTGCCAACCTACATCGGGGTATTATGGGTAATACATAAGCAAGGCTCTGCTGGGAAGAGCTAGCAGAGCCATTGCTCTAGCTCCGCTAGCAGAGTCGCCTTGATGGGGCTCCTGGAGAGAGATGGGGGGTCAGTACCCCCCTCCCCCCCAAATCTGTGTAGTGCTCAGCTGTTTCTTGAAGGAGCTGTGTCTCAGCCTTCAGTGGTCCATGTGGGTCTTGGAAGCACTCTGTTTTATTGTACATTTCTCTCCCTACTCTGCGGTCAGTGTGGTCTCTCTCACTCCTGCACAGTCCCCTCTTTCTCATCCCAGCTCCTCCTCGCTGTTTAATTTGTACATCTCTCTCTTTATCGTACAGTCAACATGGTGTCTTCCACCCCTACACAGCCCCTCTCCCTGCCCCTCCTGCAACGCTCCTAGGAACCCACCAAACCCCCGCGGACCTGCCCCCATCTCTGTCCCCACAGGCGTCGGTAGGAAAGGCAGCGCCGTTCCTACAAGACCCTCCACAGCCCAGCTCTTGTGCCCTTGGCTACAAGGAGTGGAGGTCAGGGAGGGCTCTGCCAGCACTGCCCTAGAGCTGTGGTTGAGGACGGGTTGGACCTGCTGGCGTTTTCCTTGGTTTCTGTCCGTTGGCACAGTCAAGCTCTGTGGGGTCGGACTCGGGGGGCTGTCGAACACACGAGCTCTGTCTGGTGTGGGGCAAAGACCCCTCTCACCGTCCCGTCTCTCCTTTCTGTTCTTTGCTCAGGAATCGTCGGAGAGCACCAACACCACCATCGAGGACGAAGACACCAAAGGTACCGGCGGCAGCACCTGGGAGGGTGGGCAGGCTGTTTCAGAAGGGTGCCCCAGGGTCGTTAGTCCAGCCACCCCTAATGAGATATTGGCTACAGCAAAACCCATGACCATCCAGCTGCCTCGGGGCCTTTCAGAAGTGGCTTTCATTCCTTAAGGGTGAAATGCCACAGGTGGTTTTGCTGCTGGATCACCACCACGAGCAGCTGGGGCACTGCTGGCGAGGAGCAAGGGGCTCCCAAAAACAGGGATGGTCCCTGAAAACACCCATGGAAATGGCAGAAATCTGCAGGGATAGCAGCCCGGCCACCTGCTCCTCCAAAATAAATGGCCCTTTGGGAAAAGCCTCCATCCTCCAGGGTAAATCCCTGCCTTCTGCCTGCCAGAGCCAGCTTTCTAAGAATAACCCAGGGAATAATTTATTGGTGGTAATTTGTAAAGTCTCTCAACGAAGTGATCTCAGCACAAAGCAAGATGGACTGTGGCCTGACATGAGAGTTAATGGGACATTTGTCCTCCTGGGGAATGGCTCCTTGAGAGCAGACACAGAGACAGGTGGTGCTTGGGAAGTGATGGGGCTCCCTCTCCTCCTTTCTGAATGACTCTCAGGAACGTGATCCCTTTCCTTTCATAAGCCACGATACAAAAAAAAAATTAAGTCAAGCATGACGCCGATTTGCATTTGAAGCAGAGCCTCATTAATAAGCCCAGGGTTACCTCTGACAGCTCCTCCTGCATCCTGGGGAGCCAAACCCACTTTCGCAACCCGGTCCCTTCCCAGCTGAGCTGGCAGTGCCCGGGGTCCCTGGCAGCAGCCGCACGGTGCCGTGCTCTTCGTGGGGTCCCTCCTTGTCTCTCCTGGGGTGGATGGCCACATCACCCACCTGTCCTCCCCCGCAGCAGAGACCCTCTGCTCCCATCTCAGAGGGAGGTGAGGGCATCCTTGATCCAGCCTGCCCTTGGCTGGCCCCTGCTCTGAGTTCATGGATTAGAAAGTCCTGGCTTGGCAAGGCTTTGCAGCCAAGACTAGCCTGTGCCACCTTTTTGGGCTGAGGGCAGCTCACCACTCAGTGATTAACCCTTTTGCTCTTTAGGAAAATACAGGGGTTTTCAGTTTTGCCCTGACTTTGGAGGTCTTTCCTCCCTGGGGATGAAGAGCCCTTCCCCACATCTCTCCCCCAAGTCCCTCTCCTGCTTTTCCCCTGGACAGTTTCCAATGGCCCCCAATGTCTGCCGTCTGTTTCTAATGAGAAAAAGATACCTCACTGATATTGCAACGCCAGCACTTTTGGTTTGTTTTCTCCTTTTATTTTCTTTTTCTCTTTAAACCAACAGTACGAAAGCAAGAAATCATTAAAGTCACAGAGCAGCTGATAGAAGCAATAAGCAATGGCGACTTTGAGTCCTACACGTGAGTGTGCCCAGCGCGGGCTTGGGCTGGGGTAGGGGCTCAGCCTCCCGGAGCGAGTGCTCTCCCTGTGACAACCCAGCCCAGGAGGTTTTACTGCTGCCCAGGCTGACATGGTGGTGGTGGGGCACGGAGACCATCCAAGAGAAGCAGGGGACATAATTTTCCAACCCTGGTGCTTCTTTCACACTAAGCTTACCATATCTCTTGGGTCTCATTATTATGGATGAGCCCATTTTCTGGTTTGCAGAAAGATGAATAACTGTAAACGTGATTTATGGTGGAAGAAGGAACATTGCATCCGTGGTATCCATTATATCCAGATTGCCGCAGGCTGCTTGGAAGCGTAACTGCTTTCTACTCACTGAGCTGATGCTCCTAAGAGTACACTTCTTCTATGTTCAAGGCCGATTTAATTAGCGATTTCTGAGCAAGTGCAGGTCTTCATCCCTGCCTCAGAGAATTGCAGCAGGGATATTTTGATACAGAGCAGAGAGTATGAGTTTTTCCTTGCTGTTTTTCTTTCTTACAAAGAAGATGGCGATGTTTTGGGAGGTTTAATTGGAGATGGTGACTGATGGAGAATTCACCCTGCCTCGCTGGGGTCCTGGCTGCAGTCGATGGGTGGAGGTGAGGTGGGGTGGGTTTCATGCAGAGTGCAGGGACGAGGCCAAACTTCTGCTTGAATTGCTCACTGGTGCAGAGGCTCCTTGGTCTCAGGCTGAGGGGGAGTCATCCCGAGCACAAGCCATTTGGGTTTTACAGGTTCTCCACCAGAAGCAGTGAAATAACCTCTCCCTTTTTTTTCCCCTTTCCACCTCCCCAGGAAGATGTGTGACCCTGGGATGACTGCCTTTGAACCCGAGGCTCTGGGCAACCTCGTGGAAGGCCTGGATTTCCACCGATTCTACTTTGAAAACCGTAAGCAGCCCCCTTGCCTCCCGAGGGACCCTTCCCACCTCCCATGGGCCCAGCTGTGTCTTGACCTCCATCAGCTTGCTGGAGGGAGGAGGGTAAGGGTGGCTTTGGGAGCATCTGTGTCTGATCTGCAAGATCCCAGCAGGAGATGAATCAAGCCTGTTAGGTCACCTGGGTCTGGGCTGTATGCAGAGTTGTTGTTTGGTTAGCTGCTTTCTATGTGGACCCGTCCTGAACCCACCCGTGCAGCATTTACTCAGCCCCTCCAAGCAGAGAGCTTAACCCAAGCATCTCCTCTTCCCACATTGCTTCCGCCCTGGGCAAGAGCCACCCAAACTCCTTCCCCTGCCTAAAGCTGCCTGTACTTATCCCCTCTCCAGTGTGGTCCCGGAACAGCAAGCCCGTGCACACGACGATCCTGAACCCTCACATCCATCTGATGGGAGATGAATCTGCCTGCATCGCCTACATCCGCATCACACAGTACGTGGACGCGGGAGGGATCCCCCGCACCGCCCAGTCTGAAGAGACTCGCATCTGGCACCGCCGGGATGGCAAATGGCAAATCGTCCACTTCCACAGATCCGGCGCACCCTCCGTCCTACCGCAGTAAGCCCTGTGAGGCTCCGGGAATGGGGCAAGGGGGGCATGGAGGGGACGGTATGGGCTCCTTGTGGCATTGAGGCTGCAAAGCGGGTGGGGTCCTGCCCTGAGCATCTATGGTGGGGAGGAGATGGCCGATGGCTGTGAGGTGGCAATGGGGAGAGGGATGCTCTGCCAAAGGGATGGTCGAAGCAAACTCCTTCTCCGCCTGGTTTGTGTTTTGCAGCTGAAGCGCGGTCCTGCCCGTGTGGGGTTTGTCACTGACTGACTACCAAGGGGAGACCTCCTCCGACATCTTCACCTACGGGACTTTGGCTGTTGGCTCTGCTGCTTGGTTCCCGCTGGAATAACCCCTCGCTTCTCACCGCACACACTCAACGGCCCTGCCGGCGCCGTGCAAGCATCCCATCAAACCCCCCACCCCACCGGGGCCGTGGCACTGGGCCCCCTTCCTCTGCATGAATGAAGAAAAGAGAAACCATGAACCTAAACCCGAGCATCTGGCCAGTGAGATGATGTGTGCCGGGGTAAACGCCTCCCTCCTCGGCTGCATGGAGTTGCCACTGCCTGGCACATCTCCTGAATTGGGCTCGGACTCATCATCCGCCTCCATCCCCGCCTCTGCTGGGAGCCCCCCCGAGGAAGAGGAGGGCAGGGGGGCAGTTGTGAGCTGCTCTGTGCCGCACCCTCTCTGCGCACTGGTGGATTTTGCTTTGCTGCTATCGAGGTTCCCATCTGCCGCCATGGCTCCCGCTTGCTCCCAATCCAAGCTCCCGCTTCCTGGCAGCCTCGGCCAGGAAACTGGGGTTTAAACCCTTCGCAAATTCCATATTCCATGTGCCCCTGGGCAAGGAGGGCAGTGTTCAGATGGGTGAGTAAAGACTATCTGTTTGTTTTACCTTCCCAGGAGCGTAGGCTGGCTCCTTCCCAGGAGAGCGAGTAGGTTTGCGCTCTAGCTCCAGGCGGCTGCTGTGCCAAGAGGGATGCTCTCCCTCCTTCCTCCCTTCTCCCTTCGGAGCAGGGACTGGCGAAGCTGGGAAAAGAGAGGAGGAGAAAGACGACTGCTTCCCAGCACCGCATCGGCATAGCCGGGAGCCGGGGCTCTCCCAGCCATGCCATGGCGGTAGCACCGCTCCCGCACCCTCCTCCTCACCCACCACGGAGCCTGGATCCTTTACTCCAGCACCCAGCCCTGCTGAGCACCCACCCCTGCCCCTCGCATGCAGCACCCGGCGCTCCCCCCGCACCCGGCTCCCGGGCTGGGATGGGGGCGGCCGAGCTGGCCACCGATTCGGGGCGCAAACCTCCATCGCCCACACGACTCCTTCCAGCGACGACGAGGAATGCAAGCTTTATAAAGTAACAAAACTCTGCAGAATCTGATCGTGCTTCGAAGAAAACAAACAAGCCTTTAGCTGTCTTCTACTTTGAGCGCATGCCTTTTTATAGGGAAAAGAAAACAATCTACTGTGTATTTCGTAACTTGATTTTGAGTATTTGCTGAAATGGATCTTTATGTAATAACTAGAAACATTCAACTGTTTAGGGTGGGGAGGGTGGGGGGATTTTCCGGGGTTGCTGTTTTTTGTTGCGTTTACATTTGGAGAGGCGTTGTGCCGCCACGATGCTCCGACCAGGGGTCCCGTGGCTGCCAGCCCCCACCCCGTGCCGCGGCGGCTCGTCCCCTCCCCTCCCCCAGCACCCGGCCGGGGGAGGGCCCCCCCCCCCCCCCCCCCCCCGGGGGGCCGCCCCCACCCCGCCTGCGAGCGCCCCGCTGCAGGGAGGGGACCCGCAGGGCGGGCAGAGGGCACGGGGCGAGGAAGGTGGCCCAGGGAGAGTACACGTC